ACAATTGACCAGGCTACAAAACAATGTTAAGTTCACTTTTTTATCTTCAGTGAGTTCAAAGTTGCCACAGTTGTTTTACTTGTCCAAAAGTAGACTTACTTAAAACAGCAATAAAAGGAGCTTTAGTTTAAAAGCTGTAAATGGTCTACTTTAGTTCTTAAAATCAATATAAACCAAAGTGTAATAACAACATAGAAAACACTTCTTATTTGGTATAATACCAAAAACTAAGTGAATATTTTGCCACAAATTATTGAACGATTTTACGCCATCATGTTGATTAAATAACATGTTGAAACTGTGCATTCCAGTTCGCGAGTTAAGGTCATCAGCTGACAAAAAAATGACATGTACCATCTTTGAAACGTATAAACAATAGGCAAAAGGGCATTAAAATTTATATGTCAGGGGACCGGGATCTGGAACGCTTTATTTTGTAGTTTAATCTTCAGAAATATCAAATCCTTTTCAGTCATCTAATTGCCAGTTAAAGTCATTTCTGTTTTTAGATTAATGACATAAAAACTCGCCAAAAAAGTCAAGGAACAACTTGTGTTTTCACCTGTCAAATTTGAACTTCAATATCTCGCAAACCCGTTAAGTTCAGTCAACCAAACTTGGCACACGCACCAACAACTAGACACAATTCGCCTGTACAGCGAAATTGCCCGCACCAGCTTCACAACGACTGCGCAGGACATTCTGAACCACAGACAAAAAGCTACGTAGGCCCTATATAAAAATGCCGTATACATGTATTGTTATTATTATTATTCCAGAAGAAACTAGGCCTATGTAATATATAGATCTATATATATTTATAGAGAGAGAAATGTCGCATGATAGTGAAAGACTATACGAGTAAAACTAAATGGAATTTCTAAACAGTTACTGAACAGTTTGGGGTATGAAAAGATTTAAAATGCTGAAGAGATAATGTGTTTCAAAGGCCAAACCAGATCTTACCTACGGCTAACAAAATCGTTATAATGTTATATTATTCAGAGTAAACCAGAGCTATCATTGCGTGTTTCTGAGGAATTCATGGGAATCCAAGCATCTGCCATGGTCTTCCGATGTCGATTCTATACATCACTGACAGGTGGTACGTGTTGGCACACAATGGCCTTTGACAGGCCTTATGAGCCCCAGTCTCAGTTCTTTGGATAGACAGACAGACAGGCAGACAGGCAGACAGACTGGCAGACAGACGGACGGACAGACGGACGGACGGACGGACAGACGGACAGACAGACAGACAGACAGACAGACAGACA